ATACACAATCAATATATATAATCATATGATTAAATTAAATTCAAGGACTCAAAGTTTTCTCTTTTATTTCTTGGAAAAATACTTATTTTTCATCCGTAAGAATATGCAAAAAATTGCTTTCAAGCATATTCTCGAATATTTTGTTAAATGTAGCACTAAAGCGAATTCGTTAATTTACTTATTTATCGTCGAGTTGAAATTATTTAATTTTATTTATTTAATGTAAAGAACAAAATTTGACTCGACTAATAGTAATTCAATTTAATCCGCCGGAATGAAATTTTTAGTGTTGGTTATTTAAGGTAATTAAAGGCAAATTAGAAGTGGATGTACAAAATAGATGTGCATTAATGAAACAAAAGACGTATTTTGGGGTAGTATTTTGAAGCATTAAAAAATGAGTGCAATTAGTTGCAGAATTCACAAATCAGTTGCTTCACTTTAATAATTTAGGCAATTAATTATTCTTAATATTCTTCCTCTCATCCGACAAAATAAGCACAAAGTGGTAACCTATAATTAGTTTGTAAATCGCGTTGAAAAAAGTACCAGTTTGTTTTTTTCTTTATAGCCAAAACAAAGTTAATTGGAATGTTAAATCCTAGGAAGGTAGCAACACGCAACAAGCATTAAGACAAGGTTTGACGTAGCAATTTTTAAAGTGCAAAATTTTGCTTGAGTCACCCTTCCTTCAAGTCATCTAGAATTCGTTACCTGGCTGTCAATTTGGATAATTATTTTTTGCATTTCTTGATAGAAACTCTGGTGAATAGGTGTAACAGCATGCTGCTATCATGAAGGTTTGAAGCAAAAAAAGACGTCAAGAATATCCTAATTAAGTAGAACTCTGCTCAAATTAACTTCTTGTGGTACTGAAATGTCATTGTTTTCATTAGTTAAGCCGATTAAATTCACGTCTTTGTTATCCAGTTTCATGGCGCACTTATTTTTAGCTTGGTTGATTTAATTTTTTGTGATTGTTTTTTGAACTTTAAAAAATTCCGAAATTACCAATATCAAATTATTGAAACAAATTTTTGCCCAATTTTTTTTTGTTGTATCAAAAAGTATCTAATTCATACGGCGGTGTCCCAAATAACATTTCTTTCATGGCACGATTTGATTATATATTTTAATGCATTTAAAATAACTTTTGCTTCTAAGTACGTTCATGAATGCTGCATAGAATGTGGTTATTTGCATTTACCTTGATGTTTTGAAAAAGTTTGACAATTGTGCCTATGTATTCGAAGGATAATTTGATATAGCTTTTAAACTCTACAAGAATGAAGTTATTTTCAATACAAAAAACCTTTACACTTGACCTATTAGAAATAACAACTCTACTAGAGGCGTCTAACACTAATTTCAACTTGGAAAAAAATTTTAAATTTGTAATTACACATCATTTATTAATTTTTTGTGAAAAGTAAAATGAATTCTCACACGTTTCGCGATTAAATGATAAAGAAAGCTTTGCTTAAATGTCTTATTTTAAATCCAGTTTTATTACTATAAATGATGTCATAATTTTATAAATTTTAAAAAAGTTATGTATTAGGCCTTCTATTTTTTTAAATTAAAGGAACCCCAAAGTCATTTTTTAAAATGTACTTTGCAGTTTGCTTTACACTTATCAAATTTCATCAGTTCTCTTATTCAACATGCAATAATTTAAAATAATTAACTAGATTAAATATCAATGAATATATTTTTTTTAATTGGAAATAAAAATCGGTTTCATATGTACTTCACTGACCTCGCTGAATTGATCGGCTATCATTATATGAATTTTTGATATGCGAAAGCCTTCCATTCGGACTGATGAAAGTAAGATTGAATTAAAATTACATGAATTTTTTTATTTTGTGATATTTTTTATGGAAAATAGCATCCTTCTTACGAAATTATTTATATCAAATGGCAGGCGTTTTGATAGTTGTCATTAGCCCTTTAGTTGGCATCGTGCTTCACAGAGAAGAGGATTAACATCAAAGTGAGGAGAATTCGGGATGTGGAATAGAAGAGTGATTCACAAAATTTATAAGAAACAGACAGACACAGAGACTCAGAAAGGGTAAGTTGAGTACTGTGATAAGGGTCGAAAATAACATTCAGTGGGGGTGATGGTAGTTTGAAGTGAGAAGACAACTGTTGGTTAATAGACGCTTTGCCGTATGATTATACGTTGCCCAGGGTGCACCATGAGGAGGTAAATCTATCCCACTCCCCCCATACGGAATTATAAGTTCAATGGAGTAGACTCAATGCCCACCTCTTCGGGATATTAAAATTCTTTTAGTCAATTCTAGTGAACGCCTCTATCGCCCGTATACATTGATTTTATCACATATCGTATGACCACTCACTTATGTGAGATACATCATCGCCTATGCGTGATAGCGCGCACAACTTACAGCCAATCAGAAGCTTGTGTTTGTTTATGCCAATCCACCATTTTGATTGACTAGGATTCCGGTGTGTACACTTTCACCACAGTATACTTCCTGAATTAAAGCGTTTGTGTGGTGCGTCAGTTTCCTTTATAACTGGGATGCAGATTAGCTAGTCCTGAGAGTCTGGTTAGATTTAGGAGAACCTGAAAAAGGAATTTCTGAGCCAGTCAAGGCTTTACTAAGGTAGCATTTCGCTAAACTTACGACGAATACTATTAATTCCACTTAATGGGAGTCAGGCCTACGCTTTAGTTTATTCCGAACATTCAAAGGATTACCAGACACCTTATTGGTGAATTAATCGAGTAACTTTCTTTGATCAATTTGAGTTCATTCAATATTTATTTCAAATTTTTGTTAAATTGTGGATTGTAGTCTCAGGATTTTGGCTAGCATAGAATCAATTAAATTATCAAATCCTTTTCAGTTAACAATCTTTTATAACTTCCTTTCTCGCAAGCTTTCCACCAATTGCATTTGTTTTAAACTTTCTTTATGACCTGAAAAGAAATTTAAATTTTCTCTAAACTCTTATTAAGGAACAAATTAAGTTTATGTCCCAACCAACTACCAAAGTTATAAATATAAAAGCAAAATAATAGGAATTCAATAATACATTAATAACACTTAATTTTATTAAGAAGTTACTTAGTTTAGAAAATATGGGGAAAATGATATTTCATCCCTAAAACTAACGACTTAAACTAATTCCAAAACTGGGAAAAGTACTGATAAGAATCGTTACCTAGAAATTACAACTTTACTAGTGTTTCTTGACATTTTCTAGGCAAATATGAAAACATTTTCTGCTAACATTGGGTCTAAAATTATACAATTTCAATCAGAATCTTTACATATTTTTAATTTCGTACATCATTCATTCACCATGTGAACTTAGGGAGTATTCGGTTTAGTTAAACTCTTAGATTAGAAAATATTTATCTAAATTCTTTTCAGAACGCGAAATTGATTTTAATTGGAGTTCTATTTCTTTGGAAATTCACAGTTTACAATATTTGCCACAATACTTCCAAAGAGGCAATATGTCTTTTCATTACATTACATTATGCTAGCGCATACTGGTTATCGTTTCAGTGATCATGGCTTTGATTGACGTTAAAACACATCCAGAGAGAAGTGAAGTGTAGAAGACACAGAGGATGGTAGCTCCACTAGCTAGGTTCCAGACTACTATTATCTATCTAAAATGAACATTGGAAGGTGCTTTCCAAAACTGAATATTGTGGAAATATCACATCACTTCATAGAATTTAAATACTTTTTGACTTTGTCAAGGCGTAGAACTACGAACGCTTGAATTTCGAGCTCTTCATTAGGTGAAAAGAGCGGAATTCCCATAGATAGAACACTAGCATTGATTGGTATGCCTTAAATTCGTAGATTTGACATTTTAAAAGGAAAATAATATCTAAATTTATAAAAAAATTAGGCATTTATATAAAACTTACGTTTTTTCTTTTTGAGTGCTTGCTTGAAGTTCTTGAAAAGAGCAAAACCCTCTAGACGGAAAAACACCAGTTCCAAATAATTTTAGCTTTTATGACTCATTAATAAATTTAAATTATCTTTTAAATTATCTTTTTCAATTTGAAAGAAGAAGTGAAACTTTTATAATGGGATTACGCATTTTGATAGTTGAGTTTGTACTTTTTCAAAAACCTTGGCAGGTAAACAGGGTGCAATGTTTTGACAAGCCTTTGATCATTGTTCCATCGATGTATGATTACATAAAATCCGTATTGAAGCCATAAAATGATGAACTTTTCAGAACTTAAAGATATGCAACCACGTGTTTTCATATGATTTTCTAATTATTTAGTCTATTTAATTTTGACATTTTTATTTTTTTTTCAATAGGGTTATAAAATTCAAAATTAATTATACAAGTGAAATTAAAGGTATTAAAAAGAACCGTTCTAAATAAAGCATTTTGCTAATTCTGACTAGATGAGATGAGGAAATCTGACTTTTAATTAGCATTAATTACCTTAAACTAATATTTATTGAAAATCTTTCGCAAAGTTCACGAAAACCTCAGTCTGATCTAATGCAGTTGAGTGTATCTTGAGCAATATTGTATTCGAAAAAAATTTAACCAAGTCAGTTAATTTCATTTAAAGAAGCTTAAAATTTAAACAGGCTCATTTATGAATTTATTTATTTATTGACGAATTTCATATTCATATTCAAATAAACAAGATTAGGATTTCATTTTGACATTGACATACGTTTTACGCAGTTTAAAGCTGAAGGGGGTCAAAAATTTGAAATTGAGACCCTCTCCCTTACCTCTTTAATTCCAGTTTTTAACTTGATAGGATAAAAATCCAATAAAATTCTTCAAATTACAAGCGTTGCTTAAAAAGCCCACACGCCTCTATTGAGTGGATCCAATTGGCTAAATACTTTTAACGCGTTCTCGTATTCCACTTGGCGTGTCCTTGTCATTATATTTGCTTTTGTGTTCTTTAAATCAAAACAATAGACCACGAAGAGTCAGGGTGAGGGAGGAACTGTGAAAAAATGTCGTCCTCTTCATCATCTCGCTTTAATCAAATGAGCTGTAGAAAGATTAGTCTTAACACCGATAATCTTGCTAGCCAGCAGAGTTTCCCTGGACGTCATTTACGTCGAATTAGAGAACCGGTTTACGTTAGGAAATATTCTGATCGAATTTTCACTCATACCCGACTTAGTGGAATAAAATCATCTCTACCAGAATATGGTGAGGAATCTCAATCAGTGACTGGATCGTAAGTTACTTGATAATCAGTATTGGAAGGTCAATATTTCTTCATGGGTTTCATTAAAACCCTCGAAAACACAAAGTAGATATTTTATGCATTCGCGATTTTCCCAACTCCTTTCGATTTGCTCTTATCACGTAAATGATTCAATTAATATTTTTCATTTTTTATAAGAATTCTTTAAAACTTAATATTTAAAATCATTTACACTGCTTATCAAAGACTTGCTAACTTAAATGAACGTATTAAAATTTTTTGCATAGAATCATATGAAAACAATCAATTCAAATGACTGATTATCTTTCAATAAATCACCCTGTTTTTTCATATTTTTATTCTTTCAATAGAATTCATTGTAAACATAAATTAGTGGATGAATCTTTTTTCCTAAAAGAAGATGTCGAAAGATGACGTTTTTTTCATTTTTTCAAATTTTATTAATGTCTTTAAATTTCTCTTTAAATTATTAAAATGGGATAAAAACAATCATAAGTTGAAATGGAAATTAGCTTTACATTTATGCATCTAAGAAGTTGATTCTGCCGCAAAAGTGTACCATTTTGTGAGCATATTTCACCTTTAAAATTACGAAGCAGTGGCTGTACACATGACGTATAGTGCAGAATTCCCTGAATTTATAAAATAAATGTTTTATTCTTTTTTTCAAATGTGTTGATTTGTGCTCGCTATACTAGTCTTTGCCAGTCTATTTTTGGTTTTCTGTAAATGAGGATAGGTTAGAGTCATGCCACTTGCTTCCTATAAATATATGTTTACATTTTATATCTTGCAATTTCAGGGCCGGAAGTCAAGGAGATGACTTGGCGGAAGTTGATTTTTCAGACGTGCATTCCAGTCGTCTGGCTCTCAATCCTACTCCACATCGTCGCACTTCATTCCTCTATCGGGCTGACTCCAGCGAGGCAGGATCTCCATACAGTTCTAGACGTCCATCAGTTTCGTGTGGAGGTTCGGTGAATCTGTAAGTTACATCGATTTAGCATTATATATTCTCCTATCATTAATGCTTTTGAAATAACTTCTAGCAGAACGTTTCAGTCATAGAATAGCACCTAAATGGGATAATGGCGGAAAGTTCAGTAAGGCTTGAAGGAAATCAAAATTTGGCTCTTGATAAACTCAGGACGTTATGTTTATTAATTTACCGAAATTCTAGAAAATCTATTTGCCATCAAGAAAAGAGTTCATTTCGAATGCCGACTTTTTTGAAGGTCAATATCCGCTTTTTATTTCTCCTTCAACGCCAATTTTAAATAAATAGCAAGGATTTGACATAATTTGCAATATAAATTGAATATAATCTACTCCCCATTGCCTCACCCGTGATAACTCTGCTCACTGACTCTGTTAAGATTTTCCTTATGAACTAAATGCCCAAATTATATCGCCAAAACTTTTCCACATTTTTAAAGCTTTAATTTATCAATCTACTTAAACTCTTTTACAAGAAATAGTAGGTAATCATCAATCCAATAATTGGACGAGAAATGAATTTTTGAAACATGCACAAAATATATTTGAAATAGGAATTTCTAAGGTTAAAGTATTATTTGTAATATTTACTCATCAATTATTCCAGGCTTAAAGACTGCATGTAATTAATGAAATTTTCCAGACTTCGATATGTGATAATTTAATCAGTGAATAGTTTTAGCGGAACTGAAAATTTGGGCCCCGCCTTAAATCCCAGAATTTCAATTTACAAATTCCCGACAGAATTTATAAGCTTTCTATTTCATTTTAATTTAACAATCTTAAAGCAATTCATTTAAAAGGGAAGCCAAAAAAGAGTAAGGTTTAGCCTCTTTCAACACATATGACAGGTTGCTTCAATGAAATTGATTTTGCTATTATCATAATTAATTTTATTAAATTTTTATTGGATACTATTTATAAGGTTTTAAGTGCCTTTCTATTCAAAATTTTAATGTTAAAACCAAGCTTTCGTTGTATTTGGTTAAACAAAAGAAAAAATAAAACATCATATTTACGCATTACATATCCATTAGAAGGGGTTATATTAATTGCTCTATTATTTGTCCTCAAACAGAAATACATATATAACTTGAAATATTATAGATATATCCAAGTTGAGTTAAAGAGCTCAAAAGTTCAATCCAGTAATGCAAAATTAATACCCTCTGTTAAGTCTCTAATTAGTTGCATGGAAGGTGTGAATTTTTGCTTAATTAATAATTTCAATACTTCGAAACATAAACAAAATAAATGAGTAGTTGCAGAAACCAATTCGGTATATATGTGTGTGTGTTTGTGTATACATATAGTTACCAAACAACATCTGTCTATCCCGAGTGCATTCAGTGCACAGAACAATTCCCGAAAAATTTAAAAAAACACGTTAAGGACCCCTTTTTAAAAACGTTGAACTGCATTAAATTACTTACTTAAGAGTACTTATTTACACTTATTGAACGGTACCGATTTATAATTCAATTAGTCAATGAATGTATAATTTTGTGTAAGTGTGGTTATTTTAATTAAAGCTCTCATAAGTGCTTATGAGAAAAGTCGAAATTAAATAACAAGTTTACTTGCTAACCGATGGTACGAAGGCTTCGATTCGTCTGAAAAAGGAAGATAAGAAATAATTCCTACGTTTATATGGGAGTGGTCATTTTCAAGCACATCGATCGAGTTAAATGTGATCATGTTTAGCTTTGAAATTTATTTGAATGGTACATTCGTTTTACGCTTTGGGAGGTACGTGAAATTCAGTAAATTTTACTCTGATAAACTGGTACATCATCGCAATGTATCCGTCTAATTAACCTGAAAATTAACAGAAAATGAAATCTTTCTGTTTAATAGTTTGTCACCTGAGCATTGATTATTAATTCTGAGTATTTAACTCAAATATCTTACAGATATGTTCGCGCTATATGAAATTTCACAACTTCTCGCACTCACTCTCTCTCTCTAGATTTGATATTTGAAACAAAAATAAACATTCCCAAGCAAAATTAGTGGACCCATGCTTTATCTAAGCAAATTTTTTAGACATTAGATCTTTCGAAATAATGTATAAATTAGTATAAACGTTTTGTCGCCATTGACTTATTGATGTAAAAACATTTGCAATAATTGACTATTTCTCTATGGGAGGCAAAACTTGTTTACATAAAGTCGCCATTTCCAACGTTGATGTCCATTGTAGCTCATTTATTCGCTAAGTGAAGAGATGACCTTAACTTTCGTTGGAAAGATAAATCCTATTTATGTTGTCAAAGTTGGAGAGCCATTTGTCCTTGCAGGAGAAATGCATGACCTCAAAATGCAAATCGTACAGTCATGAATATGCAGACTGCATTGATTCGTGTGTGTAAAATTAATCGTACGCTTTTTCCGGGCCATAATTGTTAGTCTCTGAGCTGTGGTTAGCCCATTTGACTTAAAATCCACTTATTAATAAGAATAATTAAACTAGGTGACTTTGCTCTAATACGATACAGTTTATGGCAAGGTCAAAATTGAAATTTTCTTCTTATTGCTTTTTGGACATCTCCCCTCAAAGCTGTATTGCTAGCATAAAATTGATGCATTCGGTGAATCTTGCCATTGTACTCCCTGAGATCACCAACTTATCGAATACGATTTGAGATCAACTCTACATTTCCAAGGTTCAGTAAAGATGTCCATATAAGTTCAAACTTCTATTAGGGAATCAAAAAGTGGTCTATTCGATTACGTTCGAATTTAATTTGGATATGTTATTTTTCACCCTCTTTGAATTCAAACTGAACTTACGGTGTTTTAAAGTCTACAATGTACTGTGTACTTGAGTTAATTAGGGTTTAATATGATTAGTTAGAGTCAACTTTAATTTCCTCATTTTAATATCAATAAAGTTCACTTAAGTTGCGCATCTACAGTGACAATTAACTACTCCTACTGTCTCAGTTGGAAGAAAAGTTCAAATTTCATAGAAATTAAATCTCCCGTTATCTATCAATAGCGTTTATGGGTCTCAATTTCTAGACATTTTAATCTTAATTGGCTTCTTTGCGTCCTTTTACAGCTTTTATTTGTAATTTTAATTTCAGAAATTAAATTTATGTGCTACTTCTCTTTATTTGGCATGGTGACTTGAGTTAAAAGCAAGTGCATGAAAGTGTTCCTCAAGGTAACTTCAGGCAGCGGAAGGATGTGTGGTCAATTTCGTCTTTACGCGCTAATTGCAACTGACAAATCGACTTTAAGAGGCCAACAAATAACCCTTGTGATAGCTAATAAGAAGTGACAAAATTGAAAGAGACTTGTAGACATGTGCTGTGTTGTCTGTAGACGTTTAACACTTTCTAAGAAATGGTGAATACTCATTCGCAATCATTCCTAATAAGTCTGCATTTACTGCTTTGTAATGAAAATAACCTATTAACGTACCTTATGAAAGTCACAAAATCCTTCATTTATTTCGAATACTCTCAATTCGTTTTAATAATTCAACAAGATATTGCTAAGAATTTAAATGCGCCTCGTTTAGTTAATTAGGTCTATTAAAAGTTAAAATCACGCTTATTGCCGAAAGTATATATGCTTGTGAATGAGTTTAATGAGCATTTGGACACTTCATAAAATCACTGCGGTTTTTTCCAACATTTTAAACACTTTGCCAACTGGAAATCTTGTCTAATCAAATTGAAGTTAATATTTTAAAAAGCCACCCAGTCTCAACCCTTGTAAATCTTAGTGCAATCGGTGTGTTGTATTACTACTTTATATGGCAAATTAAGGCAATTTTATTCCTTAAAATGTAATGGACTATGCCCAAAAATGTCATTCATTTCTCGTGGATTTATGTCTTTTGCAGCATTCACGTGTACTTGTAAATAATGAGATTGGAATTACAAAGGTCTGGCACAATATGGATTTTCCATCCATTTCTCTGTCCACAATCTCACGATGAGTATAATTTAAAGTAGAAACAGCTATTTTTACCAAGGTTTGATTTACGTGAGATTGAGTTCCCATCCGTAATATCTAGAATTCATAGAACTTCTATTTTAATTTTGAATCCTTTACATCTTTTTTAACACAAATGAGCAACGAAGTGCGAATGCCACTCTTTGAATAGTCATCAATTGACTGTTTCTCCCAACTTTTGCATTGTTCGGTTCAATCGCAAATATTGTTTAGTAATGGGAGGATATCTTAGACTGAAATTTACTCTTACAGGTAAATTTATGCAAACAAAGTGTATAATACAAGCACTCAATTTCACTTAGGGCTCACGCAAAGGTTCTCCACACATGAGAGATCATTTGTGTAATTACACTTTATAATAAAATTTTAGAAAACACAAACATTTTGTTACTATTTGTTCATAAAGTATAAATTGTTCCTTTATGCTCATGTTCAAAAGACCGCTTGTATTTGCGCGCTAATGTCTTATCCCAACTGTCCTAGTTGGAGCATATAGCTAAATAGTATCACAATGGCCTAATATTTGCTACAATGAAAATGAATTAAATAATACAATTATTTGGGATGTCCTATTGTTATCCATGGCAAGGCAAATACTTACGAATTCCACTCATGGGAACTAAGAATGCGTTGGAGGGGTGGAGGGGGGGGGAATATGGTGGAATTAAGAAAGAAATAGGAAAGAATTTAGATTTAAAAATTTGAACTTTGGAACTTAGTTGTTAGATTCTCATTCCTCACGTAGAACCTACTTCAACGGAAACAAGATCTTTTCAGTTGGTCTATCGTCCTTGGTGCCTAATTAACCATTTTATATTCTCTTTAGAAAAAAAAGTTATGAATTCAGGTTTCTAAATCTGAACCCTCCCCCCCCCTCCCACTTGAATTCACTTCTAATTCAAATTTTGAAAACGATGTGCCAAGTTTATGCTTTTATTTAAAAGTTCTGTTAATTAGAAACATTTTTGGTTTGCTTAGATGTGATATGCAATTCAAATGAGGTTTATACATTTTTTACAGTTAC